GTTCTCTGCCTGGTGCTGCCATGAATTGGACGAGTACTGAGGCTGGTGACGAGCACATGAGAGAACACGCGTACACACATATTTGGAAACGGCCGAAGTCAAAAGGAGTTGCATTGGCCGGGAATCGAACCCGGGCCTCCCGCGTGGCAGGCGAGAATTCTACCACTGAACCACCAATGCTCACATAAGAAAATTTTGAACGTAGCGAAAAAAATATTTAGAAGGAAAAACATGTACCTCCAAGCCACCTGCGAAGTTCCATGCAGGACTGAACACCATAACCAAGAGATTACAGGAGAGCGTAAATTGATATGCGAAAGTGATAACTTTTGCATTACATGCAGGCAATCCTTCTGCACTGCTAATGGAAGCAAATGATTCAGTCCATCCTTCTTTGAATCCTCTGTTCTCATCGGCTATTCTTTTTTTTCCCTGTAGGATCCGTGGTCCAAGACACCCGCCACTTTGCTTTCCTTTTCCTATGACAACTTTTTGTTGAAAGAAATGCTTACATTCAGGGGCGGATCTAGAAAAACATTTATGGGCTGGCGAGAGGGGGGCAGGAATTTTTGAGGAGTGGCAACATATGGCATTTGTTTACACTGAATTTATTCACAGTTAGGTGAGAATAGTATATACAGTGTTTCATGTGAAACAGTTCTTATTAGAAATACATCATACAATGCAGGGCTCGATGTTAACCATTGCCCGATTGCCCGGGGCAAGTCGTTTTTATTGTCGGGAGAGTACAAATTTTGTTGCATTTGCCCGCAAGGGCAAGTGCTATGATTGCAAAAAAAAAAAATCACCGACATTCACTGAAAATGACCCACAAGCGTTGCCGACGCCATTTTTGTTGTTTTGTACACATTCTCACGTCATTTGAAAAAGGTGCGTCATTTGAAAAAGCCGGGTGATTTTCCACCAGATGGCGTGATTTTTGTCCACCTATCGTTAAATTTTTATGTAGTTACCAAAACAACAAACAAGCTAGAAAGCATTATCATATGGCAGTCTTCTGTACAGTGATGCAGGTCATACATTAAAAAATGTTCATAAAATTTTTTTTATCTTAGACATCGAAGAGGTGCATTTAAATGTTATAGAGCTAAACATGTTAAATTGGTGACCTGTTATGTTATTATTGTCTTGTTGCTGCACTTATTTTGTCAGGGAAAACTAATCCATAGTCAGTTAAAAGTCAGGGAATTCTGAGATTATGTAAGACTGTGAAAACCCTGTAAAAATAACTATGTATAATGATTCTCTAGAAAAGTCACATTATATTAATAGTATTATCTTGTATCAACATACCAAGACTCTAAAATAAAACTTATTCATTTGTGACATTGACTTCTGTCTTGTGATTTATCTTAAGTTTTTAACCTGTCAAGTTCTTTTTAGATTTTTAACATTACAATTTATATTTTCCAAGCACACAACAGTTTAAAGCAAAGTTTAGTTTGAAAAGAATGTGCAGGAAGGATTGAAAAGCATGTTAACGCGGTAATGTAGGCTTGAGTTCATTATCTGACGCATGAAGTTTACAAGAACCTGTAAACTTAAAAAATACTGAATTACAAAAAACATTTAAAAAACAAACATGTTTCATTAATATATATACAAAAATGAATATAAGAAACTATATTTATAAAACATTATACTGGGCAAGTAAAAATTGTTTCTGGGCAAATGAAATGTGAAAGTCACTTGCCCTTTTGGCAAGTGGTAAAAATCCTTAACGTCAACCCCTGATACAAATAAATAAAAATAAAACGGATTTTATAGCGCCCTAAACATAAAAATACATTTTGCTTCCAGTCTGAAAAAGTACAAAACATTTTGCGAGTAGGTTCATACAGGTCATTTCTGGATAGTTTCATACTATATATATAGATATATAGATAGAGAGAGAGAGAAACAACACTGCTTCATATTAAGCAGGATGTACACCAATATCACATTTTTAACTTTACTTTTAACACTTTTGGTTTTAATCAAGGAAATATCAGATTTTATCAGGTGCCAAAACAAAATGTAACAGCTCTGTAAAGGCTCACCAGAGAGCATAAAATAAAGTTAACATGACTCTAACAGCTGAATGCAGTGATTTCCATGTTACTAAGCAAAACGCTTCACAAATTTATTTAAATCCAATGAATTTGTGCGTTTTGATTTGAGATCAACTAAACTTGATAGTCTCTTTTCTGTCATAGTTGACCGCAAATATGTCTTTCTGAGCCTGAGACGTCAGGCCTAACTGACATCATAGTTAGAGAAATAACGTTCTGTAACCTGATTTTTATCATCTCTAAATCAGCATTGCAGCTATGCTAGCTACATTGTGCTTTCATTATGATTTAATTTCTCGATAGTTAAGTTTTTACCTGTTTCATCCCTTGTCTCCTCTCCCCATGACCCCTGGCTACCTCGCTTTGCTCCATATTCGGTTTTCAAAACTTATCAGTCTCAGTCGCTCTGGCGTCATCTCGTGCTGCATTCACTGCAGTCCGACATCGGAAATTAGCGGTCGTAATTCTCAAATTATCCATCATTTATAAGCCTCGCCAACCCTACCGCCAACTGGGGTGGCAAGGCTGTCATTTAGGGTGGCATTTGCCTAATTCTGGCCTCCTTCCAATAATGACCTGGACCAAGATGTACCCGAGTTAAAATAAAGGCCCCGGCCTATATTAGAATATTTACTGTAAGAAAGTCCGGTTAATTAAGAACTGCAGATAGAACAGAAAGTGTGTTTCGGGGGAAAAAATGTTAACAAAAACATAACCTACAGCTTTTATAGCACAAAAATAAAGTTTCTTACCTTTAAGATGAAAGTAAAACGTCTGTACTCCAGCTTAATCAAAGAACCAGCGACTAATTGCTAGCCGTCCTCATGCTAGCGAGACACGTGCTTTTTTTTTTCTAACCTGGCTGAACTTTAACCTCACGTAGGTAAAGTAGGCCGGCGTCTGCGTATAAAACAGCGCAATTAACTAAAACTTTAAACCTATTATTTCCAAATTTTCACAGTGTAACAATTAGCTGGAATTCCATTAAACCACCTGGCCTGCGCGCTACTGCCCCCTGCAGGCGCAGCACGGAATCAAACATCTACATGCGTGAATGTTTAACATTTAAAATATTAGTGTCCTGTTGAGTTTTTTTTTTTTTAAACACACATTTCTTATAATACAAATATAAAACTATTAAAATTATTAATCTAAATCTTAAATGTATAGGACAAAAAAGTTTAAGGTGTCTTAAAAATGTCTAAATCCAACATTAAATGTTCTTTACTGAGGAGTTCAATGTGAAAAATAAATAATTTGAATTAAAATCTAAATATTGTTGAGTGAAAATATTTTTTATAAAGCACCACATTCTGTGTTGATTTTAAATAATGCCAAACATGAAACACCTATTCACACATATTGGTCTGAACAGTTAAAGCTGTGGTTAAATATTGAAACCAATGTCAGACACATTTATACAGAACCCCTTGAACAAAAACACATCCCTGTTGGTTAAGTGTTAAATTTTATCTTGCATTTTCACTTAACTTCCCTAAATTATAGATCAAGAACGATCACTTTTATACAAACATTCACCGGTGTAAAATAAAAAGCTTTTGACTCCCGTCTAGAATCGGGTGTAACAGAAAAACCCGTTGGTGACGATATAAATTGATCAAAAGCACACAGCTGTAAATCTTAATAACTTTATTGTCTTTGTTCTCATGATTTTACAAATATGATACTTCTGCAATTCAACTTTAACTGTGCAACACAATGGCATTATGGACTGTTAACCGGACGTCCCAAAGAACATCCGTGACTCCAGAAGGTTGTGAATCCTGCAGGCCAAAAAAGGCCTTTCATGTAAGTTTTGACCGTTTTAGTGTCATCCACGAAGTGTTTTTTTTTTTTTAAACGCAACATCCTGCCTGCTGGATTCACTAGCAGCTTACACGTAATGGTCCACGGGTGATGTAATGGCGGCTACTTTCAGGTCGGAGAGTGACTCCTCGGACTTGGGCTTGAACTTGGACAGTCTCTTTGGATGAGGCTGGTTTTAACTGTCAGGGCTGCTTTTATTATTTTTTTTTCCTCTTAGAAATGGGTGATCTCGCCATGTAGGTTTACAGATAAGAACAATGGCATGCAAGACTCACATACAGACCCACTTATTTATTTTTTTTCTCCATTTAAAATAAAAAATAAGATTCCGACATGGTGGAAACACCCATCGGCCAAGCGTATTTAACTATGCGGAGGACAAGTGAATTTCCTTTTTTTTTTTTTTTGTTCATTACTATGGCCGCTAAAACCATTTAAACACAACAGCTGGCTTCTTTTCATATTCAATAAGTCCCTCTGTGAGGACATTATACATCTCACAGTTATATTCTTTTTCTACACCATTTTATAAGAAACTTGATGTGCTTTTTGATTTAAAACTCGGGAAACGCTGAGAAAGCTTTGCATTTCAGTACCAGTCAAACCCTAAGACACCCCCCACCCTCTCTACCCCTCCCCCACCAGGCGAGTTTATTGCAAATGAAGTGATAGATAACCTCTGAACAGCAACACACACTTCAATATGGCACAAGCGTCTGAGATGACCGAGATACGACGTCGTCGTCTGCGTAGAGGGCGAATATAGAAAACCAAACCACACCATATCTGAAAATATTAAGATGGTAATCGATAGGAAATCATGCAGTCTGATGCTCTGCAAGCTAAAACCCATAGAGGTAACTGGAAAAAATTAAAAAAAGAGAAAAGATGTTGCGCCTTACAAAGGTTTTGTGTTATTCCAGGGCTGGATGAGGATTCCTTCGCTTCAACAATTTGCACGCCGGCTTGCAATGAGGAGAGTGAATCAACCAGGCCTGAAAGTTACACTTTTTTTTAAATTAACTTTGCAAAAATTAAGCAGAACTACTTTAAAGCACTCGTTTGCCTACTGATGTCGCGCTAAGACATCCCATGTGCTTGTCTTGCTCAGCTTTGGCACCGTCCCTGAGGTACCCGACCGGAAATCTGCAATCCCCGCCCCCTTTTGTTGAGGATCTTGTTGTCTCTGGAGTGTTGAGGAGAAATCTACAAATGAAGGCATTTTCCTCCAGCCCTTTCTCCACTTACAAATAAATATCGTTTAAAATAAGGGCAAATTGGTAAACATAAAAAAAAAAAAAATCTATGTAGTGGCTTTATAACGTAACACTCCTGCTTGGTCAAAGAAAGAAAGAAACATAATGAGGAAAGATATATCTAGAGTGGTTGTTTTACAATGGCGTCAACTCTGTCGAAAGAACGACCCCCAGTTTTTGTAGTGTCTTTTAGAACCGCTTCGCTCGGATGGAGAACGTGCTCCGTCTGATCCAAGGCTTCGCTCTCTGCTTAAAGGATGCGAGGCGGGGCCGCTCAGTCGGCGTAGTGCATGATGGACTCCACGTAGTTGCCGGGAAAGAGGCCCGTGGTCCCGTTCATCACGCCCTCGAACCAGCCGTCGTCGTTCTTCTTGATCACGTAGATGATGGCGCCCTCCTGGAAAGATAGCTCGTCCTCTTTGTCGCGGGTGTAGTCGTAAATGGCCACCACTGGGGAAAGAAAGGAGGGTGATGATGGGAGCTTTTCTTTTTTTTTATTTGAATGAGAAATCGGATGCGAGAGCAAACCTTTCTCCAAGTAGCTGCGTGGGGCCCACGGCGGGTCTTCCTCGGCGTAGGGGTCGGTGTACTCCACCACTGCCGACTCCTCTTCTTCTTCGTCATCCTCGTAGTCCTCAGGCGGAGGAGGTGGCGGTGTAGGCTCCTCGAAGACCGGGTCGTCAGCAGGTGGCGGCGGAGGCGGCACGTCTGAAACTAGAGGCAGATTAAAAATAAAGCAAAATGGCTGATTGAGCGGGAAACACAGGTTTTAGGAGGAAGCTACATGCAAACTATGCAGTTCCAGGAACAGATATGATAGAAAAATATGATAACTGAAATTAATCATCATGCATGTAAACAATTGTCACAGTTTGCATGCCTTCTTCAGAACAAGCCACCAAAATCTGCTGCAACAGAAGCCTCCAATTATCCCACAATACACTGATTGACAAAATGCCATCTCAAACAAATATGTTTTCACTTTTTATTTGTTCTGAATTTGAAGATGGTGGCTTCCAGAATCAGATGATGTTGGTGGGATGACCACAGGAGGACAACGTCAACGCAAAGAAAAAGGGAAAAGATCCTAGACATCAGCTGCTGAGGAGCCGTGCAGAGGGAGCAAGGAGCTAAAAAGCTACTTACTAGTCTCCTGAACTCGGGCCACAAAGCCCATGAGAGGCAGCTGGGGGGTGATCTGCATGGATGGGGGAGGGGGCGCGTGTGGGCCTGCTAGCACCAGTACACAGAATCAGACACCAGGACAGAGTTAGAGAATAAATAACAGAGAGTTAATGAACAGGGAAAAAAAGAGAAGCAGAGTGATATAACAGATTCTTTATTTTATCACCATTTAATTTTTTTATCTTACCCCATTAAGTAAATATTTATGTTAGGAAACAACATGAAAAGCTAATCACACCGTCTGGTTTCAGCATTTACACACTAATATAGAAGCAGATTTCTGGAGGAGAAACAGAAAAAATGTTGCAAAGAGGAAAAAGAAAAGAGGCGGAGCTTCCCGATGGCCATGTTGACACCAAGCACTGGAACAGAACTCCTATAAAAGGCTTCAAATCAATAAGAAACTGGAGAATAAAACAAACTAAAGAGTGATTGATTGGTTTATAATTGAATGTTAGTGTTGAAATAAAACTTGAATTTAAAAGAAGCTTTTCAGTTTGTTATTAACCTTTCCTGCACCTTCTGAAAGCCCTCAGATCTACTGTATTTACCGTAATTTTCGGACTATAAGCGGCCCCTGAATATAAGCCGCAGAAGCTAAATTGCAGGATTTGTACATATACCGTACAAGCCGCACCGGACTATAAGCCGCAGGTTTTTTATGTTTA